TTATGTCTTCCGTTCGTCACTAAAATTAGGAAGACCTTCATCGAAATGGAAACGGCAAATAAATAGCCGATATACAAAGGTGGGGCTTGATCGGAGGTCAACAATTATCGGCCCGTCTGCCTAAATTGCATTTTTTTGTAAAGTGATGGAAATCATCATTAAGAAGATGACAATAAAGTTCCTAGAGGAGAATAATTTACCCTCAGGGCTTCAAAACATCTTCAGACATAACCACTCTTGCCTTTCCCGACTACTGCTCCCGACCGAGCAGTGGACTCGCGCACTGGATGAAGATGGTAGGGTTGACGTCATTTATAATGTTTGCAACAAGGCGTTTGACAGGGTCCCACATAAACGTCTAATTTATAAATATATATGGATCACAGATTTCTCTCATATTAGTCGCAGACTGTGTACATCGGTATCTCAAAATCAACCCCAACCCCTGTTTTAGGTTGTGTCCCCCAAGACGCCATGGCTCTACTGTGTCGACGACCTGGATTGCAGTGCCATCATGTTTGCTGGCGATGTCAAACTGCGAAGAGCCAGCAGGTCTGATGTCGTTAGGCAAGCAGTTCAAGAGAATCTCAACCGACTTAGTAGCTGGTCTACTAGTTGGCCCTTGAATTATTAAGTGTGTGGTTTTAAGGCTCCGGACTAAGAGGATCAATGAGGAGGATGATTCCTTCCAATACGTTCTCAGTGGGCAACCCCTTTCGAACGTTGGCAGACAAAAGGACCTCGACGTTCTAATGACCTACTCACTTAAACCACCTTCAAACTTTCTATAGGCAGTTAAATGCGCGACGCAGGTGTTATTTGCGCTAAGAGGAGGATTTTTTCAAATCAATAATGAACTGTTCAGACGAACTTACGGGACGGTTGTTCGGTTCCATTTGGAGTATACCTTCCAGGCCTAGCGTCCGTGGTTTAAGAAGAAGTACCTGCACCTGGAACGGGTGCAGGCGAGGGCCATGATGATGGCCAAGAAGCTTGATCATTTGCTTAACGAAAACAGACTGGCTGGACTAAATTTGTTTTCTCTCAATTGCAGGTACCTACGCGGCGGCCTTATTCAAACCTATTGAATAGTCAGAGGCAGTGAGGGCACCCCAGAATTTGATGACTCCTTCGAATTGGCTCGAATGGATCATCTGCGAGGTCATCCCTTTAAACTGTAGAGGAAGGGAGCCCAGATGGACGTTGGATGGAATGCTTTCTCATAAAGGTGGTCCTTTCAGTAACTGTGGCGACATTTATATACACTTGCTGGAGAACTGTTGTACATATACTGGGCATTGTATCAGTAGCGGCACTTTGCGATTGGCTCACACATATCGCCGATGTTAATTCTGCATTTGTCATATGTACAGTTGCTAAAGTTAAACACGTCTGCCATTTTTGAATATAAATAGGGAATTCAACGGATAAAAGCCTTATTTCCTCAATAAAGTGATTTGACTCGCCAGTGAACTTTTTATACCTCTGTTAATGCTCATTCAGATTTATATGACTCCGGAACACTTCCTGCCAATTGGACGTTGACTCATATCACTCGCCACGTTAGCCGGGCGTCCATGAATAAGTACAGGCCCATAAGCTTAAAATAAATCCTGCTCAGAGTTTTGGGGAGGATTGTTACGAGCGAATTGGTTCAATTCCTAGAGGCTCATCATCTGTTCTCAAACTGCCAACACGCGTTCCCAAAAGAAATGTCTTGCATTAAAGATTTGCCGCAATCTTTCCAGAGCTGAAACCAAGCTCTTGAGGACAAGCACGTGGTTCACATCGCCTTTATTTACTTTCAAAGGCCTTTAACACTGTGCCATACCACAGAATGTTGTATAAACTCGACCGAATAAGAATCCGGGGA